ATTTTTATAATTTTAATCGAGTATTTAATTAACGTTTATATTCCTATATATTATAAATTTATTTACTTTTAGGTAAAAAGGTATAGAAATTTTGGTATTCGAATTACTTTTTATATAGAGGGAGTATATAGTTTATTTAAATATTTATTTAAGAACCGCTTTATCGATTTTAATACCCTATTGCTCGCTATTAACGAAACTCTCAATCGATTAAAGTATAATTATAATAACGATTATTAAGAATAAATTTCTAAAAAGGTTAAGAAATATAATTATAGGATTATACGCCGGCTTCTTTATTTTATTGGATTTGCTAATTTGGATATAATTTAGAAGTAATTGAATATTGCGATGTATATAAAGAGAGAAGGAAAACCGTAGCGCGGTCTATATATTAGAAACTTTCGCCGCTAATTTGGATTACTTTATTAATATTAATTTATATTTTTGTTTTTTAATAATAGTTATATATTTATAGGAATTATGAATAAATATTAATATATTAAAGAAAAGGTTAATTTTTTTCGAATATTCAATATTATATAGCTATTATATTAATTAATATATAATTTCCTTCTATTAAATTCCTTACCCTTTATTATAAAGAGGATTTAAACCGTGTTCTTAATAAATAGTAGGCTATATAAATTTGTAATAGCGCTTAACCTTTACCCGACGATAATAAAATACCTTCTTCTAATTTATTTACTTCGTTAATTAGTAGCTAACGTCGTAATATTTTAACCTATTGTAATCTATTATACGATACCCCGCCTAAAAAGAAAGTAAAGACTACGAAGAAGCCTACCTTTATTTAATAAGTATAATAAATATAGATTATAATAATAGTATAATAGGAGGAATACCGTTTAACGATGGCTTTATTTATATAAAGCGCGAATATAAATATTATAACGCCTCCTAATATTATACCTTTATATTAAATGCTTAATATTACGCCCCTTAATAATATTACGCCCCTTAATAATATTACGCCCCTTAGTAATATAATACCCCCTAATAGTATACCCCAGCTAATTGCTAAATAGGTTATTAAGTAAAAGTAGTTTAAGGCCGCTAAGTATAGTGAATAGATTCTTCGATTTTGAGTAAAAAAGTATATTATATATTATTATCTATATTATTATCTATATTATTATTTCCTTATATAAAAATTAAACCTTTTGAAAAAATGTCGTAATATGTGTTTTGGCTGCATGTGCATTACTTCGCTTAGTTGGTACGTACCTGGCATAGTTGCACAGTAATGACAGTGCGCGGTAAATTTGTATGGCGCTAATATGGAAATAAAACTGTACAGAATTTAGACCGCCTTCTAAAAGCGGTTAGAGACCGTCATTCTAGCGGCGATAGGCCGTTATTTTAGTCGGTTCGGTTGAGAGGTAAGAGACAAACCAGTTGCGGCTTCCTTTTGCTTCAGAGGGCCTGTGCTTTGCTGGATGGGTTTCCGGCTGCACTAACAGGACATGGCAGAATCCATTCGAATTTCTGTTGAGAGTATTGGCTTGAGCACATTTTTACATGGTGTCATTCCATCGCGCCCGCCATCCAAATTGTGTAGTTCCTTCCTAAAAACTATCGGAACAATCTCTGGTCGCGGTAGTTCTTACCTCTGCTAGCAATATCTTTGCTGAGTGCCTGCCCTGTCATACCTCGCTCGGTTTCTCCTGCCGCAGAATTCCCTCACTGGTCTCTGTTGAGGGCAATCTTTCTTCACACGTCTTCTACCTTTCCCGCATTTCGACTTCACCATTTCCCAAATCCCAGCACCTTCTCGCCTTTGTGCACCTTTTTCCTCATTTCACTTACACCATGTTCGTTATTCAACCCTCCCACTAACGAGAACATTTTCCAATACAGTCTTCACCTTTACAGAGTACCTTTGGCGTGGCGTGACCTGTCTTTCTGCCCGCTCCTCCCCCGATTGAACCTCACCTCCGATGTCCTCGTCATCTCAGCGCCCGGGCATGTCGGCCTCGCTCACCGTCAGCCCCGTCAGCAATGGCGCTCCTTGGAAGCCAGGAAGCCAAGCTGGCCGGATTTGGTCCGATGGTTGACAGCCCAGCGTTACAATCGGCACGGCGAAGATTTACCCCGCACCTGTCCATCGATGAGATGCGCGCATTTCAAGAAGACCACCTTTGTCAATGCAAAGCCTGACTCTACGGACTGAAAGTCACCCGTGCTCGGTCTCAACTTACTCCCTTTTGCCTCATCACGATTCTTACCCCAAGCTTGCACCTACCAAGATGGACGCACCTACCAAGATGGGCGGGCCATTGCCTTGCAAATGGTGTGCTCATCCAAGGGCCTATGGAAATATCCGTCACGCTATCCTCACGACCTCGCTTGCCGGCATGGCAGGAAACACTAGCATGTGCCTGTTTTGTTCCATCTTCCACGCTGGTATAAGGAGATACATCGCCAACACGTCAATGCCCATACCGGATGACCTGGACCACTTGGTCATCAGCGCAAATAACTTCACAACTATATGGTTGATAGGCACCCCTATCAAGCTATCATTCTTCTGCACTGAAAGTAAGTCTCAATCTTGTCATTCTGCCAACGCGGAACGTACTTTGGGAACTGATGATCTGATTAGAAACTCCATGGATCCTCATAGCTTTTCCCACGCTCGGTATCGAAAAACAGGTCCCAAAAACGACCTCTTCGGACGAAAGTTTTTCATGGGTCATGCAGAAACTTGATCACTGCAAAGACAACCATCCCGACTGTGTCTCGTACCTGAGCACTGCCGTTCTTCCCAAACGGGTTGTCTTCGTGGGTACCGTGACGGAACCCGCTCTGCGGTTGTACGAATCCCAGGGCGAAAGCGATCCCTATACCTGCTTAAGTTACTGCTGGGGTCATCGCCCATTTCTTCGTACTCTGGTCAGCAACTTCGAGTCCCATAAAACATGCATTGAGCCTAAGCATCTTCCACCCACTTTCAACGATGCCATTGACTACACTCGCAGGCTCGGAGTCCAGTATATTTGGATCGATAGCTTGTGCATCGTTCAGGATTCTCTCGACGACTGGCGCGAGGAGGCTGGTAAGATGACGTCCATTTTCCACAATGCCTTTCTTGTTCTGTCCGCCACCGGCTCCGCTGATGCATATGGAGGCTTGTATGCCTCTTTTCCATCCGACTTTGAAACACTGGCAGTAAGGGTTGACACTCGCACCAACAGAGTTTTGACTTCCGAAGAAGTTGACGCTGACCCAACTTTACACAAAACCGAGACAATTTACGTGCGCCGCGCATTTTCCCACGTTCAGGTTGATATTTTAGACAGGCGGTTGAAAACTGCGCCGCTGCTCCCTACACTCAGGCGTGGTTGGATATTCCAAGAGCGTTTTCTGTCTGCTCGTGTTCTGCACTTCGGGCCCCAAGAACTCTACTTTGAATGTCTGGGGAACTGCGCTTGCCAATGCACCCACGGCAATATTGAAGAAAGAATTTCGTGGACGTGGGAAGAACGCGACACCCACACGGATTCACATACCTTCCATAACCAGATCTCGAAAACGTACTTCAGTCCGTCGCTATGGAGAAGAATGGATCACGACGCACTGGTGACAGTGTGGCACACCTTGGTTCGGGATTACAAGAAACTTGAGTTGACATACGAAAAGGATCTGTTCCCTGCCATCTCAGGATTAGCTAGGGAGATGAGTATCGCACGTGCAGCAAAATATGCTGATAGCGAAATGGGCAAACGATCGGGATATTTCGCTGGGTTGTGGAGAGACAGCCTGATCCGTGATCTGTGTTGGCATCTCGACCGCTTCTCCCTACCCAATCTGGCCCTTCGTAGCACAGGTAAGGTTACCATGGCTCAAGGACTCAGATCATGGAAGGAGAGACCGTGTGACTGGCGCGCGCCAACGTGGTCTTGGGGCTCCGTCAACGCATCTGTCGTGTTTATAGGTAGCCCAACCGATATCCACAAAGACATGTGCGAAGTGCTTGATGTTTCTTGTACTACGGCTGGATCAGATGAGATGGGTGAAATCACCGGAGGGAAGTTGGTGCTGCGTGGCCAGATCCTTCGGGCCACGGTGAAACGATCACGTTTTATTTCCAAGCAAGAACCATTGCCCTGGGAGGTCCTTGACTTGGATATGCAAGGGTTGCCTGAGTTTTGGCAGCAGGAGGTGTATGTCGATGACGGGTGTGAAGACCTGTTGAGGCTGCTGGATGAAGAGAAAAGACCTGATGATGATCGGCTCACCGTCTACTGCTTTTTACTTGCGAAAGTGGCAATAGGGCGCCAGGACCGAGCGGTATTTTTGATGTTAAAGAAGGTCAAGGGAGCATCGGGAGGAGAAACGGGCCAAGGTGTATATCAACGGTTTGGAATGTTCGAACTGACCGAGCCTCCTCGCCGCGGGGAACAAGTCCCGAAGGCTACATGGGAGGAACGGTTCAAGGTTCTTGCTCATGCTAAGGAGGAGGTGGTCACCATCATCTAGCAGGGATATCGTCGGATAACTTTGCATCAGGACATGGATAGGACGGGATTCTGATTTTCATGGAAACAGAACAATTGCATATCGCAGGCAGACGAGAAATGCTTCATGTGGAGATGTACATCTTCCGGAGTAACACCACAGGTAAGGGAATGACATTGAGGGAAGTTCATTCAAGGCTGAGAATAAGAAATTTGTAGCGTGTTCCGCATCAACTGGTAACCGACGGTGATTACCACAAAATGAAGACCAAGATCACAAAGCTGAGAAGATTCGCAAAATCATCAATGTAGAAATGAAGGAAACCATCAACATAACCACATCACACCTAGCCTTGCCCCCAAAACGAACTAAAAGCAATGAATTCTCAAGATCACCATACCGAGAAAAATCTAGAAACCCTCAAAAGTGCACAAGCCACACAAAAAACAAGATGCAGACCCCAACTCCACGCATCCACATCTGCACAGTACATGAAAAAAAACACGAAAAAAAAGAAACGATCCGGATGGGACTCGAACCCACAACCTCAGTCTTATCCTCCCGTAATTAGGAGGACCACACGATACCATTTCGCCACCGGACCGTTTTGTTGTTTGTTGAAATTGGTGTCGAAAGGAAGGAGTTATCAACGTGGGCTGTAGTGGTGGTGTGGTGGTTGGTGCGCAACGGAAAAGTGCACATGCTCACGTAACGACGTCGAGGGTTTCGGAAGAACTAGCAACGCATCGCAACATGAAGATGGAGATTGAGTGAATTGATGCATGATAGTTCGAACCTCAATGAGAAGTGCATCCACTGTATATAATTTGTTGAATTTTCGGGCAAGTTTGAAGTTGGCTGATTATCAAAGAAACACTCACATAGGGTCATAGGCACGTCGTTAAATTCCACCCCCCCTGCACGCGGCACGCCCAGGTTTGGCATTACCTCATTCCTCTCACCCAGGAGACAGTGAATACCAACCCACATTAAACTTCCACCACTCAGTGTCAGTGTCTTTGCGTGATAATTGACCTTTCTTGCGCTGTAGTTGATCCATCCTGCTCAACTGCAAACTGCAGGGCTTGCAAAGAAAGTCGTATCACAAACGCTGCGGCCTACGGAAGAAAGAAAGCGGCGGAAAAAGATAAAAAAAGACGAGAGGGAGAGGGAGAATAAATCAAAGGGGTCAAGAGGGGATGGGGGCGAAAGGGAAGGAAAAGAAGACGAAGACAAAAAAAGGTCAGTAATCACACCTCCCACAATTCCCACAATGCAAACTCGAACAAGCCGTGAAATCCAGTTCTCCATCCTCATCATAACCATAACCATACCCACGCGACGACATCGACAAAGAAAGGATATCAGCTGCAGTTATCGGGGATGCGTCAAATGTGAGCATGTCGTTCTCTTCTTCACTTCCCGCATAATCTTCTTTATCATCGTCGTCGTCCATCGTCGTCGTCCTTTTTGTGATACTTGAAAGGATCGCAATCACTGTCCGACAAGTCGGAGTCGATCATGGGATCTAGTAAACGTCCGACCGGGCCGGACGCGTCGTCGGAGTTGTAGTTGATGATCTTGGACCGGTTATTTTGGTCTTGGGCGGGGTTGTTTTCCCTGGTTGGCTGTTTCGTCTGGGCCGCGAACCATTGCTGTTTGAGTTTGTAGGAGAGTGCGCCGTCGCGGCCGTCGCCTTCGATGGTGGTGGTGGTGGATTCTTCCCAGCCTTGGTGGCGGATTTTGAGGGTGCCAAAGTTTTCGGCGCGGTGGACGACTTCGATTCGGACAGGTGTTGGGGGTTTGGTGAAGGTGTTGGGTTGGGCATGATCCGTCGACTTTTCTTTTCCTTTGCTGGATTCGTTTCCCTTGGCCTCCTTGTGATCTTTGCCGACCTCATCGTCATGCTCATCATTGGAGTTCTTTGCGGTCCCCGCATTCACGTTGTCTTTGCCATCATCGTCTTTCACTTCTTCCCCATTCCACATCTCATCTAACTCGCCCACCATCTCCACCAACATCCTCACCAGAGCGGCCAACTTGGCCAGCGTCTTGTCCTCGCTGTGTTTCTCCTCCCACTGCTTGACATCGGGCCGCATGTCTCGGATCTCAATGTCACTGGGATAGAACTTGCCGCTCGTGTGGTAAGCGAGGATAAAGTTGGGAATTTGCGTGACCCACAGGCGTGGGAGTTCGTCTTCAAGGATTTTGTTCTTCTCGCGAACCTTGATGGAGCGAGTTTTGAGGTCAAAGATTTGTGCTTGAGGGACGATGGGGGATGGGTTGGAGCGGATGTTGAGTGGTGGAGGAAGCTTTGAGGATGCCGGGATTGGTGGCGGAGATGATGAAGAGGATGTCTGTTCGGTCGAATCGGTGTCGGTCGTCTTTACATTCTTGCCCTTGGAACCGCGCTTGATGGCCCTGAACATCTCTGCCGTTTCCGCGAAGTCATCCCAGTTCATATCCTTGAATAGGTCTTCGATAAATGCATCATAGCCATCTGCGGTTTTGAGGTCGATGTCGGGCTCCTCCTTCTTGACATCTGCGGTCACCGTCGGACTGGCCTTTGGCAAGTCTTCCTCGCTCAAATACCCATCAGCCTCGAACCTCACCAGAAACCTCAACCCACCAAACCGGTAGCTAACCAGCCTCTGATGGGCCCAGGATTCTTTCACGTCGTCTTCCCAGGTTGTGTACTTCTTGGGAAAGGTATGGCCATAGCCTACGACATCAGGGATTCTCTCTCGCGCAGAATTCTCCCGGCGGATGAAGAAGACGGTGTTACCGACTTTCTCGACCAGAAACCGGAAGGGTTTGGGCTTGTCCTCCCCACGCACGAAGCGGAGCAAGTTGCCCAGCGTGCTGCCACATGCCACGATGTCGAGATCAGGGACCAGCGATGGCTTGGAATGCAACAAAGTGGCGATGGCCGGTTCAAAGGGATGGAAGGGGTATCGAGCGGCGTTGCGGTCGCGGTAGAACTTGCCGCTGTCTTGTTTGAGCTGGGGGGTTTTGGGGGGAGGCTTCCAGAGACGGGGTTTGCCTGGAGATAGGTAGATGGGTGTAAGTGTTAGCGCGCAAGTGTTAGTGCAGATGTGCTGTTGGTAAAGTCGGGCGTGATGATAGCCGAGTTTGGGACTATCTTGCCCAAGGTAAAACCGACGAGAAAAGAAGATACTGACCAGGAATCAAGATGTCAGGACTGTCCAAGTTTGTTCCTAGCCAATTGTAGGAAGCGACAGTTTCACAATCCTCAATGGTGGTCGAGTGTTCATACCGAGTGGAAGCATCGTCGAGGTCGCTAACAGAGATGGATTTGATTAGTGGGGCGAGCGGTGGTGGAGGTTATTGTTATTATTATTGTTATTGTTATTTTTAACGTCTGCTTCCGCCTCCCGTAGGGTATAAGACGTGCCGCAGCAGCGCGTATCTATAGAACTATATATATAAGTAAAGGGAGAATCTATATATAATAGCGCCCTAAAAATTTACCTAAAAGCAAATTATATAATTTTACAATCCTACCCGGTTACGTACTACCTATTGCGTAAATGCGGCCTAATATTTCAATTAAGTTCCCGTAAGAGTAAATTAATAAATTAAGGGTTGCCTACCCCCGGCTATATTTCCTCCTCCTCCGAATCCTTTTCCTCTTCTTTATTAAAAAGTATTTCTAATACCTTCTTTCTACGTTAAACCTTATATACTTCCTAATTTAATTAATCTTTAACTTTTAAAATATTTTCTTTTTTTTTAATTTCGACGCTTTTTTCCCTTAAAAAGGTAGAAAAATTATTAATATTTTTTCTATCCTTTACGTATTTTTATTAAAAAGTTTAATAAATATTCCGTTTCGTATAGGTCTACGAAAAGAAGTACGAAGTTTAAATCTTCGTAACGAAGCGCTTCTAAAAAATATTTAATGTAAATATTAAATTTCTAAAGGTAATTGCCTCCCTGGAAAGGAGAGGGGATATAATGTATTCCTTACGGTAGTAAAAAATATAATATAAGGTTTTCTAATTATTATAGAAGTATTTTATTATTACGTTTTCGTATTCGAAACGTTCGTAATAATTTTTAAAATTGCCGTAGTTTAACCTTGCAATTAATAAGTAATATAAAGTATTATAATCGAATTCGAATTCTTTATTAAATTTTAACGAAATTTTAAAATTAAGGCTTTAATAAATAGGGGGGGTATTTTCTAATTATTACGTTTAAAAGTCTTACCGTATTTTGGCTTTAATTATACGTTTAAAATAGGTTAATATAATTATTTTAAGGTTAATTATTTTATTTTCGATAGCCCCGAATTTTATTAATTCGTTAATAATCTCGTTATTAATAATTCTTATATATTTAGGGATTTATTTAATTTTTATTTTATTGCGGTAGAATATTATTATCCGCTTAAATTTTTTAAAAACCGATTATAACGATAGGGAGGGTATATTATGGAAGTTTCGTAAAATCGAAGTATTATTAAAGTAAATTATAATATTTTCCGTGTAATTTAGTAATAGGATTGTAATTGTTATTTTAAAGCTATATTTAGCCCTTTCCGCCTTTACGTCGAAGATTTCTATTTATTTTAATTAATCGAAGCCGCGGTAAATTTCCTTTATACTTTTAAAGGCGATATACTTAAAATTTATAAATTCGCTAACGGGTTTATTTTTTACTTTTAGGTCTTTAATATAATTTTCTACGCCGATTTATTTAATTAATATAAATCTATTAATATATATTATTATTTTTAAAAGGGGTAATTAAAGAAATTATTCTTTAAAATTAAAGGTGGCCCGCTTCTTCGATAAAGGGGCGGGGGGTAAGTATATCGTTTTATTAAAAATAGGGATTTGGAAATTAGGGTAGGGAGTAAGTAAAGTAAGCCAGAAAATAGTTTATAAAATCGTAAGGCTTTTAAGAAGGCTTTTAAGCGTCCTTTTATCCTATTCCGCCTATTAAATTAGTAGGTAGCTTAAATTTAGGGAAGAAAAGCGGATAACGTAGCGGCGGCGTACGGTTTTAAGGAATAATAATATAAATAGGAGGTTAGCCTTATAATAGAGGATTATAGAGCGTATAATATATTAAATTAGGAGCGTTAATTTAATAGCTAAATTAATAACCGTTTGGATTTTTTTAATTTAATTATTTAGGCTATTTTTAACGAGGGGAAATTCCCCGTTTTTGCGAATTTAATTGTATTATTTATAACTGGGCTATTAAATTTTAGAATTAAAGAGGGCTTTAAGGAGGATAATAGCCTTTATACCTTTAATTATTAATTTAGGGGAGGCCCCCTTATATACCCTATTAAACCCGTTAATATATTGCGTAATTTATTTAATTAATACGAGTCGGTATTTAATATAATTCTTTTAATTGAATTTATTATAAAATTAAATTCCGAATTAATATATAGCCGGTTAAACCTTTATTACTACCCCTATATATTAAATAAAAAGGGGGGGGGGTAGTAATACGGCTTTTTGAAAAAAATTAAATCTTTATTTTCTCCGGGGAAAATTTAATAGCGTTAACCGAATTTTATTCGATTATACGGTCGAATTCTTTTTACGCCTATTAGGTTATTTC